AGAGTTCTTTCTTTCCTTCCTTCCTTCCCCCCCCCCCCCCGCCTCCCTCCCTCCCCTGCCTCTATACGCCGTGTACCGTGCCTCCCCCCGTCATGTGTGTATCACCCGGGTTATCCCCCTTCCGTCGTAATCATGTTTTACAACCCCACACACACACACACGCACATCGACCCCAGCTCCCCACACACACACACAGGGAGAATGAAGATGACCTCCCGCGTACCCGCATCAATACCAATACAACGTCCATGGCCCCCTCCCCGGCTTTTACGGACACACCCGCACTTGTGTGCGGAACTTGTAACTTGTAACACACATACATACATACACGCAGCACCTTTCCCCGAACCTCTTTCTTACACCGCAGGCATGCAGGCGCTCGCGTCGCTATTCCCCCGCCTGCGGGCGTTCTCCCTGGGGCCCGCCGGCAGCGATGCTGTGACGGAGGAGGGGGTGGCTGCATTGGCGGACAACTTGACGACACTGACAAGGCTGGAGCTGCAGGTAGCTGCAGGGTTTTAGGGTTGTGTGTTGTGGGAGTGTGCTGGGCGGCAATCTGAGCGGCAGTTGGGGCCCCCCCGGAAGGCTCCTGTCCCCGCGTTCCGTACTGCCGGAACGGGTAACTGTTCGCCTGATCGGTTGGATGTTGTCGGCTATCTACTTTTGAATCCTTGTCGTCATCATTATTATCACCAATATCTCCCCTTTCAATGGGTCGATGTACGGCTGGGGGTCGCATTGCTGCGGCGATGAATCAAAACTCCCGGACTACTTCCATCAGCAAACCCAATGATTAATTTTTTTGTGTTACTTGCAATCGATGTGTTGGATTGTGCTCTGTATGTATCGTGTGTGAAGTGCAAAGAACAAATTCGAAATTCAAATTCAAATTTAATTTAAAAATTGGTTCAGTTCTTGCCAGTGCCAACTTTGATAAACGTGCACAAATGACGTCCCGCATGACCGTAAACCTGCTGTAAATAATGTTTAGCTCCGAAACCGGAGTATAGTAAAATTCTTTATCTGTATTTGGGTTTGATTTCTTCGCACTTTTCTTCGCACTGCTGAATTCTGCCCTACCTGTGATCCCAAGTAAACCCCTTAAAAAGATGGATAACCCTTAAAAAACCCGTATCAACCTAACCCCTAACCCTGTACGACCTCGTACAGGGCTGCAGCCGGCTCCGAAACGAGCGACTGGGTCCTGTGTTGGGCCTTATGGTCGCCCTGCGCTGCCTGGACCTGTCCAACTGCCTAAACCTGATGGTGAGGAAGACGACAACGGGTTGTTGGCGGTTAGCGGTTAGCAGTTAGAACAGTTGGAATGATAAGGGATAACCAGTGTACAATATTATATTATATACAGCTGGTCATTGAAAACGATCGTAAGTGCACTCCACGTTAAAACACGGCGTGGAGCCAAATTGACGGATGATAGGTTTTTATCATCTCTCGGTCGGTTGTATTCCTACCAGAACACAACAGAACACAACAGAACACAACACAACACAACACAACCGGATGGTGGTGTCGGAAGACAACGGAATTGGAAGAACATCGCCAAGGAAGAACGCCTCTCTCCTGTCTCTCTTTCCGTGTAAACCTTAACTAACGGGGATGCAGCCCTCTCACACAAAGCTGAGAGTCATGCAGCCAGTTCCGGAATGGTGCAACGTTGACGCACACGAGTACGCACACGCTTCCAATCGATGACGGGGCGGAGGGGGCGCCAAGGGCCAGAGAGACCGGCGGTCCAGTCGTAGCCCGGGGCAGTGCGACGACACACACACACACACACACACACACACACGGCAATACCATTATGCTTTTGCAAGTATGGACTTCATACTACTGGGGGTGGCAGGATTGACGGGATTGGCAATTGGAGGACGCTGGCGGGCGTCCGTGACGGGGTCTCGCCGTCGCCGTCGGAGCCATGTACCTAGACCTGCTGACAAAACGGCGGGAAGATAGTTCGTTGGAAATCAGTTAGTTCCAACGAACTTATTCATTTGAACCGCGTCAGGCGGGAGCTGAACAAAGATGAAAGCAGCGAATGTGTCAGTTTGAGACCAGATGTAGGAAACAGTGTATAACATGTACAAACATTCTTTTGAGCACTGCCGTACAGAGTACGGTGTACGGGGCACAGTCAGTTTTGGGTTGGATTGGGGGAAATGACGTAAAAATGTACGGCACCGTTTGCTTTGCAGGACTCTACGTTGTCGTACTTGACCTCGCTCTCCAACCTGACGAACTTGCGGTTGCGGGGCTGCTGGAAGGTGTGTGTGGTGGGGGTGGGGTAGTGTGTGGTGGGGGTGGGCAACTGTGCGGGTGGGGGTGGGTCAGTTCCGGACGCTGTGTGCACTTGCTGTGGAGCTTTCCCCTTAGGGTTTGTGAGTCTGTTTGTCTGTAGATGCCCACCGTAGGGAATCCTGAACGAGCATCTACTGTAAGGAAAGAAGAGTGTGTAAATGCATGTGTGTATGTATGCATGTCGTTATGTACTCAGCTGGCTAAACAATCCGGCCTACAATCATTCCGTACAATCACTCGGGCCTTCCTAACCCCGAATCCCCTTCCTATGCTAAACTCGTCACGACGTCGCATGATGGACTGAATGTACGATTGATTTGATCGATCGATCGATAATCGATATTCGACCACAGATCAGTGGTACGGGTTTGGGTGTGCTCCAACCGCCCCTCCTCCGTCTCCAGCGGTTGGACCTCTCGGACTGCCGTACAACTGACGAAGGGCTACACCAGGTGTGTGTGTTTCTGTTGTCACGGCACATCACATCACATCACATCACATCACACAAACATACATACAAACAGACGTACACATGAAAGGTGTGTATGTATGTGTGTGTATGAAGGTGAAGGTTGCAAGTATCTGACCGGGCCTGACGACACTGGCCACAGAGGGGCTGCTGCCTGCTGCCCCAACGGAAAAACCACCTAAGCTCTCTCCGCGGACGGATGTGCGCGAGGGGCCTCTGTCCCCTGCTAAGCAGTATGGAGAGCCGCAGGTCCGCTAACTCCGCTCTCCTTCCCCCCGGGGGGGTGGGGGTGGGAGAGGCGTCGCACGCGCGCGTTAATGTTTTATATCCCCTCGAGGGTCACGTGCGGGAAAGGGGAGTGCAGTTAAGAGCGGTGAGAGTGTGTATTTATGTACGTATGTATGTATGTATGTATGTATGTATGTATGTATGTATGTATGTATGTATGTATGTATGTATGTATGTATGTATGTATGTATGTATGTATGTATGTATGTATGTATGTATGTATGTATGTATGTATGTATGTATGTATGTATGTATGTATGTGTATTGAGCACAATAATATTCAAACACGCTACTAACGAATATTGACAATGTGCACATGCAACCATATCAACTTATCAATTCACGGATTCGGGCCTCTCATGCCTTACCTGTACTGTACTGTACTGTACTGTACTGCGCATTGCTCCGACTTGGCTGGAAAGCGTCCATCAGTCAAACTAAACACCGGACGTGAGCCAAGCGCAGGTCGCCCGTCTGACGTGTCTCACGGAGCTGCAGCTGGTGCGGTGCTGGGGGGTTCGAGCCCCGGGTCTGTCCGCCCTCTCCCGTCTCACGCGGCTGGCGACCCTTGACTTGGCCTCCACCAACACGGACGATGCCGGCGTGGTGCAGGTACCGGGGCGTGGGTGTGGGGGGGGTTGCGGCTGGTTGGTAGCGGGTGGGTTGCGGAGGGAATTGGGGATGGGGGAGTCCTGCGAAGGCAGTGACACACACACACACACACACACACACACACACCGCCCCAGTGTGGGCATGTGTTGGGACGGAATACCTTGGGGTCGGGAGCCATGTATATTATACATATATACATATATACATATATACATATATACATATATACATATATACATATATACATATATACATATATACATATATATACATCATTGCCCCCGGGAGATCCCGGGATCGATACCCATTAGGGTCAAAGTCCTTCCGATGGTGGAAGGCATTGTGCCCCTAGTTGATGGACGGTGGTGACCTGGGATAAAGTTAACCTGCGAGCCGACCAGGAACGGAGTTGGGCCGCTGTCGACCCGGCAGATTCCGTTGGTTGCCGGTGGTGGGTGCGGAACCTGAGCGATCCACTGAGAAGTTGACTAGGGGGGGTGGATGAGGGTGCCCCGAAATACCGGAGAAGGCAGGGTTTCGCAAGGTAGCTGCCACGGGCGAAGATACACCCCCCTGTTCACACATCATACATATATATGTATTTGTATTCTGTATATATGTAAGAATTAGTGTATAATCGTTGAGCTTGGCCGTTGGCGTGGTGGATATAAATGCCTGCCCTCCTTCTTTTAAGTTTTTGGTTGCCCCCCTCCCGATGTTTCATCCTGATTTTTCGTTTCCTTCTTCTGTGCGCTGTTCAGATGGTTCGAGGCCTGGGTTCGAGTCTCACTGATCTCAATTTGGCCTCCTCCCTCATCAGCCACGTGGGAGTGGCGGCGCTGGCAGAGGCGCTCCCTCGACTTCGCCGCCTCAACTTGAGCAAGTGCAGCCCGGGGGGCGGATTGGGTAGGTGGGGTGGGGTGGGGCGGGGGGCGGGGCGGGGTGGGGCGGGGCGGGGCGGGGTGGGGTGGGGTGAGGTGAGGTGAGGTGAGGTGAGGTGAGGTGAGGTGAGGTGAGGTGAGGTGAGGTGAGGTGAGGTGAGGTGAGGTGAGGTGAGGTGAGGTGAGGTGAGGTGAGGTGAGGTGAGGTGAGGTGAGGTGAGGTGAGGTGAGGTGAGGTAGTAGGGTCGGGTAGTAGGGTCGGGTAGTAGGGTGTGTGTGTGTGTGTATCAGAAAAACACATCAAGGTTGAGGGGGTGTATCAGAAAAACACATCAAGGTTGAGGGGGTTGAGGGGGTAGAGGGGGGCCCGCGGCCCCAGGAAGCTTCGGATGAGTGATTTGGAGGGCTTTAGGAAGGATATGGTACTGCAAGCTGCCCGCCCTGATCCTGGAATAAGGTCTCTGAAATAAAATCGCCTCCAGATCGGGGAAATTCCCAGCCCCCCTTTCCCCCTTGCACCACCGCTCGCACCACTCGCCCCTGGTGCATCTTTTCCCACCTAACCCCCCCGGGATGACCAATCCTGGACTTGTATGTAGGTGTGGATGATAAGGCCCTTCAGCACCTGACCCGCCTTTCCTGCCTGCGCCGACTTCACTTGAGGAATTGCCGTAACGTCAGCGACGTCGCCGTACGGCAGCTGGCGGCGAAGTTGCCACGTCTGCAGCATTTTGAGCTCAATGGCTGTTGGGGCGTCGCGATGAATACAATGGACGAGCTGTACGGCAGGCCCAAGGCGGAGTGGCGGCGGGCAGATGACGTGGCGCGTTGCGGGGAGGCGGCGGCGGGTGGCAGCTGTTGGGATTGTGTGGAGGAGGAGGGGAATGACGTGGAGGTTTTCGGATGGGCGGCGTCGCGACAAGGATGATGCTGCGAGAGGTGTTTATTCACGGCGAAATTCTATTTTGATGGATTTCCGAGGCGTTTGTTTTGCCTGTGTGTTGCTTTTGTGTTTATATCCAGTTCCTGTCTCTGATCATTTTTTCTTTTGCGGATTCCGGCGCTGCAATGCCGCAAAAAGCCGCCCAAGTGCTTGGTACAGCGCAAGTGGTTTACCGGTAACTTGGCTGGTGCTTATTGTGCGTCGGCTTATTTTTGCAATATGCATGGAGGACGTCGTGAGTGCGGACATGTATATGTCTTCGACGAACTGTAGCTGTTTGCAAACATAAGAAAGAGGAGGCTATGATTTGACTGACGTGTGGGTGTTGGTTAAGCTGTAGGCAAAGCTGTGTACATACGTTGTAGGCTTCTGGGTTAACTGGTTGAAGGAATTATGAATATGTGCGAGGCCAGTTCAAGCGATGGGATACTTTGATTAGGGAAAGCCCTTAGACCCGCCGACGGTTGCTCTCGAAATGGCGTCCGTACATATGAAGGATATATGGCCCTTTTTAAACATATCGATGTTTCCAGATGGGACCCTGTATATCTGTATACTTTTTGCTCTTTTTTATATTGTACACTGTTACAATTGCTATCTGCAGCGCAGCAAACTGCTCGGCTATTACAAACCCGGCGCAAGTAGGTTTGGAAAAGGGCCACCGGAGGTTTCGTAAGAACTTGGTTTTGTGTTGTAACATACTCGATATGCTGATGCACAAAACCAGCGGACTAAGCATCGCTCATCGCCAACGTCGGGTGGTTTATGGAGGTTGGCCGCTCGGGTCCCACAGCCGGTGGAGCAGGCTTGGGTCCGTTAAGGCCAACAAAAGCGATACGTAGGTCATTGCTAGGATTTACCGTGAAACACCAGTTCAGCAAGTATATTCCTGTGTGTTCCTTTCCTTTTTTGTTTGCGCATGGTGGTCTTCTTCTTGCCGCTGTCATATGAAAGAGGAAGGCGGGAATTGAACAGATAGATTCGTCTGTGTGTCCTAACGACATCCAAAATTTAAACCTTGCTTGCTGCAGGCAAATCTCTACCAGCGTGCAGCCACCGGCAGCTTCTCCAGCAATCCCCCAGGAAGCACCAACAACACTTCCTCAAGCGCCAATAGCATACCGGTCAATTGCCTCGCTATCTTCAGTAGCGTCCTTGTCTTCGCTCGATGACTACCAGGATGAGACTGCCAGCTTCCGTTTCCTGCCTTCTCAGCTTGAAGTCTTCAACGGCTTGGCGATTAGCATGCAGAACTGCAGCCGCGGCCTTGCAGCCCTGGCGTTCGGGAGCGTTGTCATGGACGCCTTCGAGGTGGGCTCCATGTGCACACCCCGCTCACATCTCAACAAATAGCTGCCCTTCCCTTTCGCAACAGCCAAACTGCAAACTTCCCTTCTGCCACCCACTCACACACGTTCCTCTCCTAGGACATGAAGGGCAGTGGGGCCGCACAATGCGGGGCCGCGCATAACTCCATGGCTGCGTCTCCGTCCTGAACACCACACAGCGTTGCTGCCATCGGCCGAGGCAACAGAAACGCGAGTCAATGATGCTAAAGCTTCCAGTCTTTCAGCCAACTCTCCCACTCATAATCTTTCATGTAACACGTTGACCTTGTTTTCGCCCTTGCAGCTGAAATCGATTATAGCACCGCTGCTATTGCGTTGGGTTCACATACACCTCCGTGTCCGAAACACACATACGTACACACGTACATACATACACACATACATACATGCATACATATAAACACACAGGCATTACCCCCGCCGGTATCCTCCACCCAGCCTATCAGACACGCCATTCCTACCGCGTACCCGGGTACCTTGGTCGCTTCCTGCCGAACCCGCTTTTTCCCGCCACTCCCGCCCCTCCGTCCCCCGACTTCGGCGGGGCCCTATAACCCCGTGCCCAGGTCGTCGAGCATGCACATCAACACGTAGAGCATGCCGTACAGCATGCCGTACAGGCGGCGGTGGAAACCGGGGCGTCTGTTGCGACCGCGCACGGTAGCCAGCCCCTGGCAGGCGGACTCGGACTTCTCCAGGTCCGTGTCGATGTGTACGTCATGTCGTGTCGTACATCCGCCGTACCCATCTGCACCGCAGAATAGTTGTCTGTGTATATACGGGAAGGCTGTTGTTGCGTTTACGGTTTTTATTTCGGCTCTTAATGAGTTAAAGTTTTTGGTTGGATGTAAAACGCTTGTGTACGGCACCCCGCATATACACGCACGAACTTCATACACACGCACGCACGCGCTTCCGTGTGTTTTTCCCCCCCCCTCTCTTCTTGCCACTCCTTTCCTCCTTCCCTCCTACCCGCTCGCACGGCATGGGGTTTCGCTTCCAGCATGTGAATATGAAACCCCTCGCCCCCTCCGGGTTGCCAACTCCCCCCCCCTCCCCCTGCAGGAGGTCGTACATTCCGTGTCACTAACAGACGTGGCTTTCTGTGTCAATGAAATTATTCCGGCGTTACTCATTGCGTATGCAGCAGGTGGGTTTCGGGGGGGAGTTCGGGTGTGTGTGGTGGGGGGGAGAAGATGGAAATGGAGGAGAGTGGGGGAGAGGTGGCGTTGTGTGGCCAGGCAGGTGTCAGATGCAGCACCGCCTTGTTTCTGCATCCTGTGACATGGGGTTCTTCCCCTAAAGGGGAACTTTAGTTCATCCCCTTTGGGGGAACTTAGGAACTAAAGGAATTTAGGAAATAAAGGGGACGGAGTCCCCTTTAGGGGAAGAAGGGGTTCCCTACGGAAACAAATGTCAAATGGGTTTTTTAAAGCTGCTTCAGGATGCAAGGACACCCCCTCACGGCGTTGTGTTGTTGCTGTTGTTGTAGTGAAGTGTAGTGATGTGTATCATCGTCTCTCGGTGCATCGCTGTGAATTTGGAGTCTTTAGTAAGCAGCTACAAGAACAGTAAGCGAACTCTAATCCTTGTTGCTGCTCCTCCTCCTCTTGCTGCTGCTGCTGGTGGTGGTGCTGGTGGTGGTGCTGGTGGTGGTGGTGGTGGTGCTGTTCCCCCTCCCTCCTCCCCCTCCTCCCCCTCCTCCCCCCCTCAGTTCCCTTTCAGCAGCTGTCACAGAACCCGGATGAGCCCCACATGGCCCTGGCGCTCAAGGTGGGTGCGGCATGTATGTATGTATGTGTGTCGTTACAGGGTGGTTCAGCTTCACCAGCGGCCCCCTTTCCCGAGGCAGTTCCCTGCTCTTCCCTGCTAGAGGGGCACCCTAATCCATTCACCCCATCCGACTTCAGAATGTATTCGTTGGGTTCAGCAACTCACCACCAGAATCCAACCAAATCTAGCGGTTCAACGGCGCCTCAACTTAGTTCCTGGTCAGCTCGCATGTATGTATGTATGTATGTATGTATGTATGTATGTATGTCCCCTGTGTATCTGTACATCTGCCACTCCTTTCCTCGTCCCGCCACCACCACCGCCGCCACCACCATTACCCACCCGCAGCAGCAGCAACCCCCCGTACTTATCTCCGGCGCCCCCCCCCTCCCCCCAAGCACCGCCACACACGCACAGGGAGTGGGTCGCCTGAGCGTCACGCTCCAACAGCTAGCCTGGACCAGCGGCAGTGTGGCGGTGGTGCTGCTGCTCACGGCGGCCGCGGAGTACCCGCCCATAGTGGGGTGGGCCTCCTGGTCGTGTCTGGCGCTGTCAAGTGAGCGAAACCCCGCTCCACCCCCTTTCCCCCTTTCCCCTCTTCCTGGGGGGGTTGGGGATTATTGTGTGTGTATGTGTGCGTGTGTGGCTCTAGATTTTGGATGGTGTGGAGGTTATGGAGGGGAGGGGTTTGAACTTTAAATCATCGCACATGTTCCATCAATTATGTTTGCCAATCTGCTCCTTTTCCACCCAACTAACCAACTAACCAACCAACTAACAAATCAACCAACTAACTAACAAACCCCCAGTGGCCCGCGGTGCCGCCCTGTGGTGGGTTATCGCCCAGCACACCACCAGCGGGGCGGAGGTGGCCCGTACCTTGGCGGAGCTCAGGGGGCTCCAGGGGGGGCGTGAGGCCGAACAGATGAACGTGCTGGACAGGGCGGCCAGTTGGCTGGCGCTGGGGGTGCTGCTGCAGGTGGGAGGGGGAGAGGGGGGTGACGGGGGAATTATTTCATACGCCAAGGCAACGAAAACAACTGGAGGGGTGAGGGAGGTGTGTGTATGTGTATTGTATGTATGTGTGTTAGGCATGCATAAATACATACA